GGCCCCGGCGGCAGGCGCTTCCCGCGGCGCTCCCCGCAGCCGTGCGGCCGCCCGCGCTGCCCCGCGCGCCATGGCCTGCGCCCTGTAGGCGCCGACATGTCGGACCCCAACTTGTGGACGGTGCTCTCCAACTTCACGCTGCCGCACCTGCGCGGCGGCAGCCGCCTGCGCCGCACGCAGAGGTGAGGCCGGAGCGCGGCGCCTGCGGGACCCCGGGAGCGCGTAGACGGGCTCTATGTGGGCAAGCTGGGACGGGCTCTATGTGGGCAAGCTGGCTACGCAACTTGGCTCTTCCCGGGTCGCTGGCATTTGTTAATGCGGGAATGGCCTTTTCAGTTGTGTAGCGTTTCCTTTCTTGACAGAACGGGGGAAAAAGGGCTGAAAATAGCACACGCTAAGTAAAAGCTATGGATTTTGCCATTAATGGGCAACGGACAGGCGGGTGTTGACATTTTGGCCGCTCTCTTGTGCCGTGGTGTCCCTGCAGTTACATATTTGCCTCTGCCACAAGCAACAAAAGTTTGTGGCTGTTCCTAGAGCTCTTCCCTGCTCCTCCGCTTGCCTTGGAGACGACCCAAGTGTGTTGGTGAAACGGGATGAGCTGCCGTCTGTGCAGCTACCTTGAGCACTAGTGAATAGTAGTAAATACGGGGCCTGTGGAGAAGGGGCTCGGTGCCGGCCAGCCCGACCGGCCGCTCTGTCTCCAGCGGCACAGGGCAGCGTGGCGAGCCTGCCCGCGACGTGAAGCTGTGCTCCAGGCTGCGGTGTCCTCGCTGTGGGTCTCAGTGAGCTGCCTGCATCGTGCCGCTGCCCTGCGCGTGTCCTGCCGTGCCTGCCGGCGCCCGGCGCAGGCCCCAGCACCGCTCCTCCTCTCCAGACCGGGGCCGGAGCCAGCGGTAGGTACGGATGTTTGGCATTGCTTCCCAGGCACTCTGCAAGGTATGAGTAGGCTTGGAGGAAGTCCAGTTGCTGTGATCTGGGTGTGCTGGCTGCGTTTAATTGAGCGATGTGGGCCCACTGACTCCTGCGGAGGGCTTTTGGTTTTGTTTGGGCTTGGTTGGTTGGTTTGTTTGTGGTTCCGGGATAGTGACGCTCCCTATGAGCTACTGCCTGGGTAATGAGGAGCCTCGATTCTTCATAAAACTTAGATGTTTATTGGCCTTTCATGTTGTAGCCACAATTGGCCCTGGGTCTCCTTGCCAATGTAAGAGCATGAATTTAATACTTTGGTTGTGCATTAACATGTCTTAGCTTCATTTATCTGATCAGGTCCATTACATTTAACTGTACTGATAGGATTCTTGGGGTCTCTCAGACCACATGCTTTCCATGAACCCCTTTCTGGCTTTAGGAATAATGAGAATTGTCTTCAGGGTTCACCAAGAACTCTGTTTCTTAGTACAGATGTACCTGACAGGGGTATTTATTCTTCCTTGCTGAAGTACTATGAAGTAAAGAACTTTAGATAATTTGTTTTCCCTTGGGTTGCTGTGTTCAGCCTTGCTGTTGAGTTATGAAATGGACACAAAACTTCCTTAGTTGGTGGTCTTCTCTGCTGACTAATGCCTTTCGTTAAGATTGTTTTACTCCTCTGTGTTTTCGAACAGCAGATTTGCTAGTTGAATTTCAGTTGTGGTAGCTCTTGCTTGCAGTTTTACCTGATCAAGAAATATCCCTTTCAAGTCGTGGAGTGGGTTTTCAGGACTGGCAGGTAGAAAATTTTCTCCAGTTATAAACTGTAGATGTTTGCTATTCAAATCATAGCACCTATAAATTACGTATATTCCATTGTGTCCTTTTATGGAGAAGATGCCACCCGGTGTTAAGTTCTTCTGTTGCTGGGTATGTCCGAGCCCTTCAAACTGATTTTGGGCTGCTGCCCGAGTAAAGGAGGAGGGAGAGTATGCGAGCGCTCTGTGTGTCTACATATGCTTATTTAGGTAGATGTATAGTTTTGTGCAAATAAACGTGCTTTTTGCTGGTGGAAGGGCTAGGTAGTGTTCTCTGCCGCCCTATAAGCTACATTTCTAATAAGTCCCTTGCCTTCTCTGCCTGTCCTTTACAAAAACAAGCCAGTGATTTGTTTTTTCCCTCATCTCCGTATGGTAGTTACACGGAAGCAGAGCTATTACAGTTGTCTTCCTTTGAGTCAGATTTTTTTTAAAAAGCAGGCGTAAATGCCTGCTTAATTGCTTCGCAGTTCAAGCAGCCTCTTGCTTGGTTGTACTGATTTTTTTTTTTTTTTTAGTTATTTGTGTACAGTCATTGAAGTGGCACTGAAGACACTTTCCTGTTAGGGGGATTAAAGTATTCTTTAATCATCCAAGTAATCACTTTATACGCTCTGGCAATGCATAATCATTTCAGAAGCATTAAAAACAAAGGGGAAAAAAAGTAACTTTCACTGAAAACCTTTAGAAACAGAATTGTCAAAATTTGTTGCAGTCCTACTGGAATTGGAATGGTGTATTCCCTGGAAAATATCGAGTAGGCCTTTTGAACTTCCATGAGTTGGCAGTTTGAGTAGACTTTGTGAGTTTTAAGCAATAACTTTAATTTTTCTATTGGTCTCTACGTAGCTATTTTCTTTGTCAAGGGGACATTACTATCATGATCTTGTTGGTGACATCAGAAGACTAAGCAAGCTTATTAACAGAAAAGCAGCCACAGAAATGAAATGTAATTGTGTTGATATCAGCCAAATCTGCCAGTGTTCCCGCTTCATTTATTTGATTTTTATTACACAGCAGTAAATGTCATTTAAAATTTACTAGACAATTGCTTTTTACTGTATTTGTGCCATGGTTTAATGTATGTTTTGTAGTATTGTGATTAAAAAAGCTTTATCTCTGTTGCTTCTACCCTCTGACTTCACCTTAACCCCTGTGTGCAGAGAGAGGGACATGCAAATATTTATTATCCTAACAGATATTGGTGAGGTTCAGAGAGAAGACAATTGACTTAAAATTGAGAGGAATAAGAAATACAGCTGTACAGGCTATCTGTGTTACATAGCATATAGTCAATGTTAAGACGAATGATGCCAGTGCTTTCTGTGCCAGCTGGCGAAGTGTTAAGGTATCTTGGTAACTGTTTTCTTTCAGTTGCAGTAAGGGCTCTGTTAGGGAGATAGTCTTACAGTCTCACCGGGATTTTATTTTTTCTTCTTGGTTTACTTGACCAATCTTTTTGTTAAAGCAATTAATGTATTTTTATTTTTGCTCATAAGCCATTGGCAATGTTGAGTTCCCCTGATGGGACAGTGTTGATTTGACCTAAGAATCTTACTGTAGAACCCTTGGGGAAGGCAAAAATAAAAGCAGGATTGTAAAGGCTGCTGAGATGTGCTGTAAGAAGTGGCTTTTGTTTGTTTGTTTTACTGTCATGGCTAATAATATTGGCGATGCACAGTAGGAGACAGTCCTTGTCCTCCCTTAGATCAGTCAGAAGGGCTGTCTAGCTCTGCTTGTTGGGAGGCATCTCATGATATGGGCGCGTTGCACAGGTTCAGTCTTGCCACACATGTGGTTGGATGTGGATTTCGTCTGCCATTGATGTTCTTTAGAGCCCTTGAGTTCTCACTGTATTAGATATTGACTGATCCTTCTCAAACGAAAATTTTAAGCGCCTGCTCAGACTCCTTCAGCTGCTGCTTTGCAGCTTCAGTCAGAGCGCTGAAACGCTTGGCAGCAGGAGCAGTGCACCTCGTCTTCAGCTGCTGCACGTGCTTTTCGCCGCGCCTCCCTCTGCTGAGTCTCTACGAAAGCTGGAAGTGATACCTGGGTAAGTGGATTCCAGGCTAGGTTCCCAGCGAATTTGTTAGACATTTCAGTATTCGTGACTTAAAAAGCAGAAAACCTCCATGGAAGTGATTTGGTTAATTATTGAGTATGAAACTATTTGATATTTTCAGGCAATGTAATTGGATATGAAGTTACTGCTAACTGATTTAGATTTAACACTTTTTTAATGAAGCACATTAAATGTGCCACATGCATTCGTGGTGAAAAGCAAAGATGTTTAACAGATTGCACACACTTTCCCTTGTGTATGTGCTCGCATTCCCTACAGACTTTGGGTACAGATCAGGATGTCCCAATGTTAGATATTTTTAAAAAAATGTAGCAAGAGTAGAGTCATTGAAAGGAACAAAATGAAGGCACTGGGATGGATGTATGTGTGCCTTATCCTCTTTTCCAAAGTAAGGACAGCAGTAGGCATTGTTACCCTTCCTATTGCAGCCTTTGATAGTGTGCCACCCTAAGTGGCAGCTCTTGGATTTTTTTTTCTTGGGAACGTTTTAGAGGTTTTGGCCTCTGAACCTTCCCAAATTCCCTGCCTGCAGTAGTTCTGGCCCTTCAAGGCTGTGTGCAGTTTGCCTTCTGCATCCTACGAGCATTTGGACTCAATATATCAGTGCTATTTAGACCTACTTAATGGAATCTTCCACCAGAACTAACTTGGAAAATAAAACTGCTTCCCGTGCATCCCTAAGTCTAGTGATAGGTCACTTTTGTGCTTTTATTTCAAATGCTACAATAGTGATCCACTGTTGTTTGAATAGTGGCAAGCCAGAACTCTCCTTGGCATGGTTCCCAGTAAATATAAACATATCTCGGAAGTGCTGGAAGCCGGGACAATTCCCAGGTTGATCTACCCAGCAGAGAGGTGCAGAACTGCAAGCTGTGCACTGCTGTTGTCCCTGCCGCTCACAGATAAGTGCAAAGCTTTGGGGCCCTGCCAGAAAAAATACATCGGCTTCACCCCCCCACTTGCTTTGAGTTAGCTTTGAGTCTTCCCTAAATAATTGTTTAGGAATAAGGAAAACCGTCACGGCGTATTGTTCCCAGAAAGTTATTATTGTAAGTAGAATCTGTTATTCCCATGAACCACTGGCATGCTCAGTTCGGTGATCAGAAAGTTAAAAAAAAAAGTTGTAATTTCCTTATCCCACCCATTCTTTAATGAGGTAGATGTAATTAGGTAGATGTTCTAGCATGTAATAATCTGCTTTTGATTTCTATCATTTGGATTTAACATTCGATTTTAAAACTAATTTAGAGTTTTGAGGGTGTTTTTTGCTACTGCATCATTTTTTTTTCCCCATGAAATGTTGAGGCACTGCTTACTAGTAGAGAAATGGGTATTTATGCATGACTGGGTATCTGCCTTTTCTAACGAG